GTTTTCTTCCCTCGTGTGCACACTAGGCAGCGCAGCGTACGACGGGCTGTCAGGCTCGCTGTCAGGTGCAGACACGTTTCTCAGACTGTTGGCCGAGTTCCCAGACCTGTCGCTACCCACTAAGCATGGCTTGGAACACCAAGTCACTACCGGGGGGCCTCCTGTCTACGCCAGGGCCCGGCGGTTGAACCCTTCTAAGCTGGCTGTAGCGAGGGCGGAGTTCGCAACCATGGAGCGCCTGGGCATTGTCCGCCGCTCCGACAGTCCTTGGGCTTCCCCCCTGCAGGTCGTTCCCAAATCGAACGGCGGGTTCCGCCCGTGCGGGGATTACCGCCGACTCAACGACGCCACTACGCCTGACCGCTATCCGGTGCCGCACATTCAGGACTTTTCGGCGCATCTGGCCGGTACGGGGGTGTTTTCCAAGGTGGACCTGGTGCGTGGATACCACCAGGTGCCCATGCACCCCCTGGACATTCCCAAGACAGCAGTGATAACGCCTTTTGGACTTTTTGAGTTCCTGCGGATGCCTTTTGGACTCAAGAATGCCGCTCAGACGTTCCAGCTTCTGATGGATTCGGTGCTGCGGGACCTGCCGTTTGTGTTTGTTTACCTCGACGACATACTCGTCGCCAGCGCTTCAGTGCAGGAGCACCTGTCCCACCTCCGAGCCCTTTTCACACGGCTCAACGAACACGGATTAATCATCAATCTTGCAAAGTGCCAGTTCGGGGTGTCGGACATCGATTTCCTGGGGCACCGCGTTACCAACGCCACTAATTATTTTAACGCGATTAACGCATGTGTATTTTTTTTTTCCTCGGCCGCCCCGTAGTTTCAGAGTGCATCGAGTTTAAAATACCATCTACAAGCTGATGCTGACAGCCCCGCTCCTGCCGCCCGCTTGTGGCAGACCACACTTCCACGCTCACCGGCAGGCACCGACTGGCTGTTGGGAGGACCGGGAGGGTGTGTGTATGTGTGGCCCGAGCGAGCGAGAGAGAGACCTTACGTGCATTGTTGTTGTTAGCATCTGGTGCTAGCTAGCTGCGCTAACGGATATGGAGCTGTTTAAATGAAAACAGAGGAGCGACATTTCGCCACAACTGCGCCGAGCACTTGACTTTATGCAGGAAGCCAGACAGTGGGACATTGTACGAGAAGTCAGCACACTCAGCACGGATAGTGCGCAACATGATTGCAGCGTCCAGGCAGCTCCCGTTCGAGCATATGCCTTGAGTTGCACATAGCTCCAACGATCCATCACACACACACACACACACACACACACACACACACACACACACACACACACACACACACACACACACACACACACACACACACACACACACACACACACACACACACACACACACCATTTGTATTGTATTATTGTATGAGAGAGGTTCCAGGTTGAATTGAGGTGAATATTTGTAATGTTCAGAGGTTGTTGTGTTTAATATTCATGAGAATATTTGTCATTGTTCAAATGATAATAAACATACATTAGCATAAAGCATATTTGTCCACTCATATGTTGATAAGAGTATTAAAAACTTGAAAAATATTCCTCTAAGGTACATTTAGAACAGATCAAAAATGTGCGATTAATTTGCGATTAACTATTTTAATCGACTGACAGCCCTAGTAAAAAGGTTTGAAATGTTATGAGGTGCTTGGCGGGCACTAACTGCTTATACAGAGCCTTAGTTAGATCAGTCATAGAATACGGACTAATAGTGTATGGTTCAGCTGCATACTCTTCTCTTCAAAAATTAGATAGAGTCCAAGGCACAAGCACTAAGGACATGCTGTGGGGCAGTCAGATCTACACCAGTGTCGGCACTTCAGGTAGAGGTCGGAGAAATACCAATTTCTTTGAGGAGAAAACAGTTAATTGTTAATTACTGGGCAAAGCTACAGGGCCATAAAGATACTCACCCTACTAAACAAACTGTACAAACAAGTTGGGAAAGTAACACAATTAAAAAAGAAAGTTTTTGTGTTTGTGTTTTGGAATTATGTAAGGAATTCAAAGGAGAATTTATGTGAACACTGTTGAACAATATGGGCAGTTTATACAGATATTTACTGATGGATCCAAAAATCCAGAAAATGGTCAAACTAGTTGTGCATTTTATGTTCCTGAGTTAAAGTGGGAAAGCGTACGAGTGATCACATCACAGTATACACAGTAGAGATGATGGCTATAGCACTTCAGTGGGTAGAGGAAACACAGCCAATGCGAGTGGTCATTTGCTCTGACTCCAGTGCAGCTCTGGAGAGTATAAACAACTTCTCTTCAGAATGTCGTCAGGATATTTTACATGACATTTTACACATCATGTTTAGGTTAGTTCATTTGGGAATTGTTGTTCAATTTGTGTGGGTTCCAGCGCATGTGGGTATTAGAGGGAATGAGGTGGATCAACTGGCAAAATGTGGTTTGAAAGCAACCAGATTGATATAATGGTACCCATCAGTAGAGCAGAAGTCAAATCTGTTACACAAGTTCTTATCAAGCAACAATGGCAAACATTATGGGACAGTAACACTAAAGGAAGACATTTATAACAGATACAAAGGGAAGTGGGAACGGGAAGCATTGGAGGAGTAGTAGAAGAGAACAGAGCATTAACAGCAGGATACAATTGGGTCACTCTGGATTAAACTCTGGATTAAACTCAACAATGCTGATTGGAAAACATCTAAATGGCAATTGTGATGGTTGCCAATAACCAGTCCATAGACAATATACATCATGTATTTTTTAGCTGCCCGGAATATAACAGACAAAGACTCATTCTGAAAACTGCACTGGAACAACTTAACATCAAGGACATGGATTTCAAGTCAAAATACGAAAGTAAATCAAGAAATGAAGTTAACAAGCTGATCTTCAAGTTCCTCAAAAACACTGGTCTGAGGACAAGGATTTAATATGAACATTTAATAAATCACCAGTAGGTGTCGATATATGGAAGTGGAAGCGATTCGCCATTAAAGAAAAGAAGAAGAATAAGAATAAAGCTGGGCGACGCCCCCATGACGTCAGAGGAGTTTGCGCACGATTCAGACATTTGAAAAAAAGCAGACGGTTCCAGTTGAAGAGAAGAAAGCATGGACCCTGTCTAATATGAATACTCGTGGATTTTGAATCATGTAAGTATATTTTTATTGACTCTGTACATCCCCGTTAGATTGTGAGTTTAATGTGGATATCAAACAAACGTTAGCTAACGTCAGTGTTTCAGCATAGCAATTTAGCTAGTTAGCGTGCTAGCTAATTTAGCCTGCTTTCATGGACAAGGCATGTAATACTTAGTGGTTTAGTAGTTGCTTCAAATTAGTTAACAGCTGGCGAAATTCACCGTTTTGAATAAAACATGTGGCAGTAGTTCAGAAGATTTTTTTTGTTGGTGGTGTTCGCGCTACATTTTAAAATCCTGCTCGGTAGTTAGCAGTGCGTCGCCAAACTGAGTTTTCCTTTACTGTGGAAGTCAAGTCAGATCACTCGCATGCATCCGACTGTGTGTGATGCACATGCGTGCTTTTATTTCCTGTGTACACTGACACAGATAGCGGCACCAGATTCCTAAAAAAGGGAATGTCACATTCAATGCCATGGACACTGCTCTGCTAAAGAGTTCAGCGGGACTGGGACTGGGACTGGGAACTAAGTACGGCAAAGTGCTTGGTGTGAAAGCGGCCATACTGCTAGCTAACCAACGGTCACGTTAGTCAATAAACTGATGACAACTTTATTATAACACGTCAACTGGGTTGAAACATTGTTTTCCATCTAATTAAAGGAATTGTAGGTAAGCTACTGCTACCAATAAAGGTGGTAGATAGTTTCGCTGTGAATTCTGAAAGGTAGGGTAGGTAATTTTGAGAAACCAGCTGGAGTGGCTAGAATTTGAAAATACACAGCCGGAAAAAATCTGCCCCTTCCTCACAGAGCCCCTCCTCCAACACACACGAACGCGCACATGACCAATGAGGGCACGAGATGAGTTTGTGCCCAGATGGGAGGCTGACAGGCAGGTAGGCCATCCAGTTACTTTAGCCGGCTCAGATGATTGGTCGAGCTTTTAACAGAACTACGGCTTCCACAGATGATATTTTTTATGGATTTTTTTTGTCAAAGCCAGGCCCAGACTGGCCATCGGGAGGACCGGGAGGTTTCCCGATGGCCTGGCCTGCTAAGTGGCCTGCTGGCCTGAGGACTTTTTTTTTTAATGTATGTCGTGAACGCAACGCTGCGCAAATGTGGGTCTGACTCTGCCTCACAGAGCGTGACTGGCTGTCTACATGATGTGGCCTGCCGACATGGCCACTTTCATACAGATCATACTAATGCCCGTCTCTGTGTGTCATTCAAGCTCGGGAGGGTGTGTGTTATGTGTGGCGCGAGCAGTGAGATAAAGCAGGCGCACCGGTTACGTGTATTGTTGTTGTTGTTAGCATCTGGTGCTAGCTAGCTGCGCTAACGGATATAAGGAGCTTTTTCAACAACAAGGTGAGGAGAGTCCTCTGCTGTCAGACTGAGAGGCTGATAACCTCAGACCCCCCTATAGGATTTGAGGTCCACCCCCACTTAAAATATGTTCACATAGGTTCCTAAATAGATTTTCAAATTGTTTTAAATAGTAACCCATGTCCATATGTTCATTTTTGGGTAGTAGATTTAAACTAGAGGGCTATCACTACGGGCAGCAATGCTGTAAATATTGACAAATAAATCCAGCAAAATGGCACAAAAAACTGGTAGTGGCCTGACTGGGTGTATAATTCCCGGCCTGACTTATTGTCCCAGTCCGGCCCTGGTCAAAGCACTTCAGATATTCATTGCTATCGGGATGTTAAGAGCATTCCATGGAATATAACAAAAAGTGTATCTCGAGCCGGTTTCTCAAACTTACCTACCCCACCGCATATACCTCTATATAAACAGTTTGTTCTTCCTTTACTCTTTTCTTTATTTTTCATTTCAGCTAAAGGACAGCCACCTGGCGGCTCACACTCATTCTCTCCTGAGTGATCGTATGCTTGCCTGCCGAAACACATTTTTATTGTTTTTACAATTCGTTTTTAAACATTTGTATTTGAGGCAGAGCCGACATCAACAACACGGTGAGTGGATCTACAGTAAGTGTGTGCACACTGAACAGTGTTTCCCCCAGGATTACTGCCTTGGCAGGGTGCTGCTGTACTGTATTACTTTTATTCAAACTGTATTCCCTTCTCATCATGTAGCCTACACTTCTTCCTTTCATTGATGCATCTAAATCACCTGACTACAGCGTATAACATACCTGCTGCAACCCTGTGCTGCTGCTGCTGCTACTCTCTGCCTCATTCTCTATTGCTGGAGGCAGCTCCACCTCATGCAGTAATACCATCCCTCCTCTCACCCACAGACCCACAGCAGAGCCAGAGTTGCTTGCTGCAGAGCCCCTTGAAGGCATAAAATGGCCTGAGGTGGATGTAGACTCCACAGAAACAATGACGATGCAGGGCACAATGAAATTCTTAATGAACTCAAGCCCATTATCTGAGGCGTCCACCTCCCACCCGACCGGGGCTTCTGCGGCGGCACCTGGCCCCCACCCCGTCAGGAACCCTTCACTCACCCACATACCATCAACAAATTACAGGAATGGGCGCTGCAAGTGCGGAAGAAGACACTCATCTTAGGTGACTCCAACCTCTCCCGGATCCCCACTTTCACAGACCCCAACCTTCAGATAGACAGTTCCCCCCCCCCCCGCCACAACACCACTCATTAGTAAGGAAGAAATCACAATGATCACGTGTCTCAATCAGTAGGGATGTTTACATATTATTACAATAAGTAATATTTTATTTTACTTTACAGTATTTCGTTTTTCATTCTGTTATCTGTGTAATGACAATTTCCTGTTTCTATGTCCTATATATTTTTGCATTACTTCACTGAAGGGCTGAAGAGTGATCCAGACGCAGACACAAACAGATTACTTTCCGGTCCTTTAGTGCAGTTTATAATGAGGTTTATTTAGCGTTTTACATACCAAGGTTTAATTGTACAGTTTAGTTGTTGTGGTGAGCATCTGCCGGGCTGGTGGAATCGGTATGCTCTCTTCCTTCTTTGTCCTCGTCCTCCTGTCACCTATGACCCCTTTTTTATACAGCTAAACCCCCGCCACCAAGTGTTCAAAAATAATATTGCACTATACCTATAACTTAAATAAACTGACACACCAACAACACCCATAAAATGGCTCCTACAATCTGATTCTATTTTAAATATGTATAATCAACTTATTTCCGCATTAACTTGCACATTTTTTTGCAGGCCCAGGTCTCCAAGGTACTGATGGAGCTCAAGAGGAAATTCTTCTTCTTCAAGGAAGCCACAGAGGAAGATATGCCAGTTAGAGCACCAGGTTAGAGGATTTTCTATCACTACTGTATATGGACCCTCCCAACAATATTAGTTCAGTCAGACAACTCACGTGTTTCTTAATATGTTTATTAGAAGCAGCATATAGTTTGAGTTTGCATTTCTCCGTGATCCCAACTCGTCTACTACATACGTTTAGGGAGCTCTATGGACATCCCCGAAAGTTGAAATTCAACGCTAAAGGGCCCCCCCCTTGTGTTGGAAAGTGACGACAGGGACCCTGACATAACGTCAACATAGGCCGAGTTGGGAGTGAGAATGTGTTTCAGGAAATACCACAGCATTTCAGAAAACGCTACAGCATTTCAGAAAACGCTACAGCAGTTCAGAAAACGCTACAGCAGTTCAGAAAGCGCTACAGCAGTTCAGAAAACGCTACAGCAGTTAAGAAAACGCTACAGCAGTTTAGAAAACGCTACAGCAGTTCAGAAAACGCTACAGCAGTTCAGAAAACGCTACAGCAGTTCAGAAAACGCTACAGCAGTTAAGAAAACGCTACAGCAGTTTAGAAAACGCTACAGCAGTTCAGAAAACGCTACAGCAGTTCAGAAAACGCTACAGCAGTTTAGAAAACGCTACAGCAGTTCAGAAAACGCTACAGCAGTTCAGAAAACGCTACAGCATTTCAGAAAACGCTACAGCATTTCAGAAAACGCTACAGCATTTAAGAAAACGCTACAGCAGTTTAGAAAACGCTACAGCAGTTTAGAAAACGCTACAGCAGTTAAGAAAACGCTACAGCAGTTTAGAAAACGCTACAGCATTTCAGAAAACGCTACAGCAGTTTAGAAAACGCTACAGCATTTCAGAAAACGCTACAGCAGTTCAGAAAACGCTACAGCAGTTCAGAAAACGCTACAGCATTTCAGAAAACGCTACAGCATTTAAGAAAACGCTACAGCAGTTTAGAAAACGCTACAGCAGTTTAGAAAACGCTACAGCAGTTAAGAAAACGCTACAGCAGTTTAGAAAACGCTACAGCAGTTAAGAAAACGCTACAGCAGTTTAGAAAACGCTACAGCATTTCAGAAAACGCTACAGCAGTTCAGAAAACGCTACAGCAGTTCAGAAAACGCTACAGCATTTCAGAAAACGCTACAGCATTTCAGAAAACGCCACAGCATTTCAACTTATACGGAAATACAGCGCAACATGTCGCTGCGCCACCGGAAGTCCCCGTTTCAACAGTATTGGACTGGAACTATCCTTTTCGTAATGCGTCTGTAATTGGTGCAGCACAACTGAGCCAAGCGTTGTGTTTGTTCAGTGAATTGAAACTCCCTCCTTGATGTCGCAGGTGATCAATTAGTATATGAACATGCTGGAGGAGTGCAGCAATGACCCTAATCTGCCCTCAGTGCACACCTTCAACACTGGTGCCTCTTGGTGAGTGATTTTAAACCTGGAAGTAACAATTTGGGGATTTTGTATTGCAGTTTTTTACTGTGCAACTCTCGGGTGGTGGATTTCCGCAGAGCGTCTATGTTCTTGGATTCCCTGGGAGGAAACGGTCAAGGTGCGTGCCAAATATTATTGTAAGTTTCAGCATCACATATAAGAGTTTTGTTGAATGGTATTGTAGGAGCCATTTTATGGGTGTTGTTGGTGTCTCAGTTTATTTAATTTATATGTGTAATGCAATATTATTTTTGAACGCTTGGTGGCGGGGTTTAGCTGCACCGGGTGTATAAAAGGGGTCATAGGTGACAGGAGGACGAGGACACAGGAGGAAGAGCACATCGATTCTACCAGCACAGCCATGTTCCAATGTCCTATATCCTTTTGCCATTACTTCACAGGAGGGTTTAGAGTGATCCTGACGCAGACACAAACAGATGAATTTCCGGTCTTTTGATGCAGTTTAGAATGACGTTTATTGCTTTACATACCAAGGTTTAAGTATAGTGTGTCAAAGGGTTGTGGTATGAGCATTATTTTAAGGGTCATCAGTCTTTGCTGTACTTTATGTCTCAGCCTCTTGGAGTAGACATATCAGGATTTGCAGTTCTTAGGTTGAAGCAGTCGTGTTGCCATCCCGTCCAGCGCTGAGAGAAGCCTTTCCTTATAGGGCTCCTGCATTGATGTGTCAGTCACTTCTTCAGGTCTGTCACTTGGGTTCAGCCGGTGCCCTGGTACCATAACAGCAACATCGCAGATGAGCTGCTCGGTAATGTGTTTGTTGTTGGGCAAGCTGGGATTTTCTTGTCTGAATGGCAAGTCTGGGCAGTAGTGTCCATCTGACATCTTCACTTCCACTTCTGGTTCGTTCTCATCTTTCTCCTCTGGCTCGGCCACAGGCTTGGCTTCTTCCTCAGGCTCTGCGTCAGATTGGTGTAACTCGACATCTGCTGTGAAGTCAGGCATGCTGTGACAGGAGTCTGAAGTCGGCTGGCTTTCAAAAGGCTCGCCTTCTGCCTCTTCGTAGTAACCACCTGAATCCCGACCCTCATCTTCTTCTTGGGGGGGCCTCAGCTTCACCTTCAACATCCCCATCATTGTTTCCTTCGGCGTCTGCTACAACATCGCCATCCTGCTACAACAGGTATATTCAAAAACTATTAAATCGCCCAGCTATATACTATGACCATTCTTTTCTTATTTATAATATGGTTCAAATGGAGTAATTTGAGTTGTCTGATGCACTTGATACAATTTGACTTTTTAAAACACTGATTTGTTTGTTCAAAACCATTTCAACACACAATGTCATGACTTTTTCAAGATCTTTTTGACAAACTATACGATGACTTTCTTTCATATTTTTAGAAATCCTAAACTGACATTGCAGACAAAAAATAACGAAAAGAGGAAACAATCCGTAAATATTTTAAAAATGCAATATTTGTATATAGGACTGTTTATAATCAATCTGTTGAGTAAAACCAATCTGGATTGATAAACCGATTCAAAAATTCATGGTCATCGATGGAAATAAAACTTCCATACATATCCTCTTCAAGATCTTTGTATTTAGTAAAAAAATCTAAATAACAATTACTGGATTATTATACTAGTATTTATTACATCACCAATGTAGAATAATAATATTAAATGTGAGTCAATTTAAAGAAATACTTGACATAAACCTGATGCTAGTTTAAACGATTAATATGTAATTCGGCATTCATTTGACACACGTTTCTTCTGTTCACTCACATTTTGTCTTTCATTGTAAATAAAATGCTTTGAACGTGTTTGGTTGGTTGAGGGACGAGGTGCGTCTCGAGTGGACTGCCTGAACTAGCTCGCAGGCTTCGCCCCATATCCGAGTTATTTTCATTTGGTTACTCAGAAATATTTCACTTGATTTTGTGACTTAATTTAACAAACTTGATTCATTCAGAGTTGTAATATTTCAGTTTTTTTTAAGTAACTGACATTGATTTTGCGTCACATGAGTTATTAAAAGGGGAACTGTTGGTTAATTTGGTTACCTATAATGTAATCCTAAATGTATTTTTATTTGTATTCATACTTCTTTTAGGAGAAAAGGTTAATATTATTATTTGTAACATCATTTTAGGAAGAAGAAAAGCTAAAAGTGTTTTTCACCATAGCGTCCCCATTAAGGCTTAATTATGACGACTTGTTTAAATTAAACTTACTCCAAAGGTAAGTCATGGCAGAGTCTACCATCCTTTTGTTTTTAATGTCAATTGGCTAATGTAGGTTATTTCCCCCAAAGTCTGTGAACATGTTTGAGCCTGGACCAATGTTTAAAATCAAAGAAAGTCTCGTATCAAGAGTCAATGATTATTTAAACAATATCTTGATTCAACAGAGTAAGTATACACTTTGACACACACAAAGAAACACACACACTTTTATATTACAGATTTTCCAGATCCCGCAGCGTGTCACGACTGGGACCCGGAAAAAGACGCCCTGCTGTTCATGCAATGGGGCATCCATACTGGTAACACACACTGTGCTTCTCCTTTTCAGTGGTTGACATGGTCATACTGCTAGACACCGCACCAGTTCTGTCTAAAATCAGTGAAACCTTTAATTTGCGGGACGTTAGTAAGGAAGAAATCACAATGATCACGTGTCTCAATCAGTAGGGACACAGAACGCCATGTCATTCGCCACATTGGAAGGATTGATCATTTTATAATTCACATCAAGTCTCTAGAATATTCTTTGTATGCCTCTTCTGCTTCATTATACCCACCCGCCGGGTAGTTTGACATGGAGATGGCCTGTGGGGAGAACTGCAGGTGCGACCATCGGAAGTGTCGAAATATGTATAGCCAGGGGCATCCCGAGGTAAATTATCCACACAGCGGCGTGCGTTGAAAGCTTCACCATTCATTTTGAATGGGGTGACGTCACTTTTCGCCGAACTGCATTGTGGGAAGCGACGCGGAGCTTTGCTGGCGTGGCTCGCTGCAAAAGTTAAGCAATGTTCAACTTTTGAAGCCTCGGCAGAAGCGTCAGCCAATCGAATCATATGCCAGTACAAGCTCTAGCCAATCAAACCGCTGCTTGTGTGTCAGGGGCGGGAGATTCATGTGATTGGTTGTTGGTCGAGTTTCAGACATGCCCGCCGGCAAGCTTCAACGCACGCCGCTGTGTGGACGGGCCGTAATGATAAGATCTGACGATGAGGGGCAGTCTGCGAAAGCGAAGAAGGGACGCAATGCCTCAAAAAACCAAAATCTACGGGGGTTAGACTATTGGGATAATCTTCAAAATGGTTATTTGTTTATAGACGCTGACTCTCGACACGGCTTAAAGATCATGCAGGGCGAGAACAAACCATAACCACGATATCAAATGCAATCTCACAGCAGATAGTGAGGAATAGTCCACTTTTGGTTCAGTTGAGAGGTTCATTAAACACATCATCCTGTTATATCTCTCTAGAAAGGAACCTGCAAACTGTGTGTTTTACATTTCATGATTGGTGACCGATGTAAATGCCATTTCTCTTTCTTTAGTGTGCGTGTAAAGGTAGCTGCGATCACTTGAACTGCGGCTGCCTTAAAAGGAAGATGGCCTGCGGGGAGACCTGCCAGTGCCATCATGAGAAGTGCCTTAATATGTAGAAGCATCCCGAGGTAAATTATCTAATGATAAGATTATTTTTTTTCAATAACGAAAAGAGGAAACGATCCGTAAATATTTAAAAAATGTAATATTTGTATATAGGACTGTTTCTAATCGATCTGTGTTGAGTCAAACCAATCTGGATTGATAAACTGATTCAAAAATTCAGGGTCATCGATGGAAATAAAACTTCCATACATATCCTCTTCAAGATCTTTGTATTTAGTAAAACGGTAACAATTACTGGATTATTATACTAGTATTTATTACATCACCAATGTAGAATAATAATAATATTAAAAGTGAGTCAATTTAAAGAAATACTGGAATAAACCATAATAACCTGATACTAGTTTAAACGATATGTAATTTGGTATTTTTCCACATACATGTTTCTTCTGTTCACTCACATTTTGTCTTTCATTGTAAATAAAATGCTTTGATTGTTTTCATGAAAACAACATTTTTCTAAAATTGTATTCTGATTTTAGGATCCCACTTCAAGCAGCCCATGAAGACGGGGACAAGACCCCCAAGGCCCTGAGACAACATTTATATTGTATATGTTTTTAAAAGACAAGTTCACTACTTTTATCAGATACTTTTATTTATTTAATAGTCTTAGTTCTCCATGTGCTCTTTGGCCATTTTTGATTTGTTGAAACGCAGCCGTTTTAAGTGTTTTCTGTTTTTGTTTTCTGGGCAAAATAAATATATTTTCAAATCTACAGCGATGAGTCCTGGTATTCATTCATCTTGTTTGCTGCATCTTAACTATAACTTAAAGGGGACCTATCATGCAAAATGCACTTTTGTACGTCTTTTATACATGAATATGTGTCCCCGGTGTTCCAGGGAACTCACCAAGTGTCAGAAAACACAACCCTCTCTTTTCCTCCATACCCAAATCTCTAAAAACGCATCCGATACAGATTTGAAAATTCTCTGACGTCAGGAACGAGGAGCTCCGCCTATGGGCAACTCTCCACCTATCAGGGGAATGTGGGGTTGGGCCACCGCCAGCCATTGCCGCTCGAAAGCGCTGGAGACGCTGTAGTACATATGCCAGGCCTGTAAGTGGCGCTGTAGTCTGCCACAAAATGGTTGCCATGGTTGCCCTTCTGTTTATTCTCCGCTGTGGCTCTTTTTCTCCCTCCCCGAGGCAAGCACTGTAATTCTCTCCGGTTAGTCCACCAGCAGATGACAAACACCCACTTCTCCGCCTATTGGTATCCTCTTCACGGTGTGTCCACACAGCAGCTTTGACCAAATCTTGAAAATCCTGGAGCTGGGCGTGTCTGACAGCTTGGGGATTTCGCGACCAACAACCAATCACATGAATATCACATGAATATCCCGCCCCCGACATACAAAGCAAAAAAAACCGGTTCTTCTACACTATTGTCAAATAGGAAGGGCTATGATGAACATTTATTTTTTTAACATTTTGAACATTTATGAGATTAGTGTTTATGGTGCTATGTTATGCTACATTCCATGTTGGCTAATGATACTGTCTATGCTTGCTAGCAACGAAGTAAACTAGCAACGAAGTAAACTGGATATAAACTCCCCAAACAAGCGAAAACCTACCAGTTTCACCCACTGTCTCTGCCTCCTCCCTCCATGCCTCGCTCCTCCGGTTTGTATCCCGGTAAGTAAATAGGGACTGGTCATAAAGAACCGGGTGATTTGCTACCGCAATAACTAAGTTCTCCTCCATTTTTGTGGAATATAGAAATGTACTGCGGTCTGGTTCTCCCAGCTTGCACGCGGTTTGATTGGCTAGCGCTTGAACTGTCAGATTTGCATAAACGGATCTGATTGGCTGTCGCTTCCAGCTCAGCCTCAAAAGTTGAACATTGTTCAACTTTGGAATCCTGAACATCCTGAAAATCCTGGAAATCTTCGCCTCGCCCCCCCCCACAATGCAGTTCAGCGACAAGCGAGGGAAAGTGACGTCATCCCCATTCAAAGTCAATGGGCGGAGACGCGCTGGAAGCGGTGGACAAATTGCCAAAAGCTGCTGTGTGTACGGGCCGTCAGACCCCAGCCACACCTCCTGTTCAGACCCCAGCCACACCTCCTGTTCAGACCCCAGCCACACCTCTGACACAAGAACATATTGAGGATATTGTCAAACATTATGGTCAAACAACAGCAGCAACAACAACCAAAGAAACAGACAAAGGTTGAGGTGACGTGCAATTTGGTCTACCTACGCTGTAAAATGTATTCTCTTCGATTTACACACGGCATCTATTGCACGTCTGTCCGTCCTGGGAGAGGGATCCCTCCTCTGTTGCTCTCCCTGAGGTTTCTCCCATGTTCCCCTTAAACTGGGGTTTCTCTGGAAGTTTTTCCTTGTACGATGTGAGGGTCAAAGGACGGAGGGTGTCATACTGATCTGTACAAACTGCTGTTGTATTTGTTGTAAAGTATTTTTATTATATGTACAGCACTTTGGCTCGACCACAAATAGTTTTAAAAATGTGCTATATAAATAAAACTTGATTTTAACAACATTAACCTCTCTGTTGGTCGCTTGTTAGCAGACTCTTCACGCGATTAAATTGGATTAATCCATGTCTAATACAGAAAGAAGAGGTGTATACGTGAAACAATGCTTCCCCAGGCTTCTTCTGAAATAGAATCACCAATATGAGATTTTTGACAAATCGTAAAGCACTTACTCATCACTGTACCCTGTATACCAAGGCGGTTATGCCATCACTTACTGTACGGAGGCTCAGTCACTGGTACTTTTCATTTACAAAGCCATGTTGGATAAACTACCATCTTATATCTGCTCCCTGATCTCTCTGCGAATTGAAAGTACTTATTGCCTGAGATCGCATGCTGTGGTTTTATTAAATGTGCCAAGTGCTAGGACTGTCTTAGGGAAGAAAGCTTTTAGATGTGCAGCTCCACTAACATGGAACAGTCTGCAAAAATAATGGAAAATTACCAAGCTAGTACCACTACATGTTTTTAAAGCTCGGTTGGATGCTACAAAATCAGATGCTGTTGGTACCTGTACACGTGGATAGATATGTAAATTGTAATCCCTGTACATTTTTCTGTATGATGTCCTTTTGTTGTTTATGTTGTTATGTCTTCTTGTGGAACCTACTGCTGCAGGTCTCCCTTGAAAAAGAGATAATTGACCTCAATGGGATTTTACCTGGATAAATAAAGGTTTTGAATTGAATATCTCCTTCCCATGCTTTTTTAGTTTTGTCCCATGTGGGAGGGCAGTTATTCAGAATGAATGTATATATTTTGGACACAGCCCCTTTATTAAATGGATTCACATTAAGAACCGAGTGAGCTAGATCTTTGGAGGGTGGACATGGACTATTCTGCCTCGCCTGCTCCCTGACCCTGCCTGTACCCGGACTATTCTGCCTCGCCTGCTCCCTGACCCTGCCTGTACCCGGACTATTCTGCCTCGCCTGCTCCCTGACCCTGCCCGAGTGAGCTAGATCTTTGGAGGGTGGACATGGATATCCTAAAACAGTCCTGATGCTCTTCTAGGTAATCATACATCCTGTCATGTACACAGCTACAGTTGGGATACCTTTGTTTGTTGGTGTGTGTGTCTGTCTCTCTAAAAAGGACCGCCTTTACAAAAGAAATCAGCATCGACAGAGGGCTCCCCAACACAGTACTTGTGGTACCACATAGTGCACCCAGTGCACTCAATCTTAAAATAAATATAAAAACACATGTTAGAATATTGACAAACATTTTATCATCCAGAGTAAGCAGTAATCAAGTTGTTTACATTTCATTAAGCAAGCAATGCATAGTTTTGGATCTTTGCTGTTTTCCTTTCTGTTTAGAGTCCATGTTCAGAAGTTTCTTCAACTGCTCCAGTGTCTTATATAGACAGAATTTAAATTTGTGTGAAGTCTGCATTCTAAGGCTCACAAAGAGTGAGATCCAAACTTATTTGAACATTTGGGTTTTCTTTAGTTTCAGAGCTGACTCAGTTGTTTCAAAATTGCTGGGTCCATCTTGGGTTGCCGTCCGGAGTTGTCCAATATGGCGGACCATCTCGCACATGCGCACTGCAGATCGGGCAGAGCTGCAGATCGGGTAGTGACCAGTGTTGTGCTAGTTACTGAAAACCAGTAACTAGTTACATTACTAGTTACTTCATTTCAAAAGTAACTAAGATACTTTACTAGTCACCTACAAAAAAAAGTAATGCGTTACTGTGAAAAGTAACGTTGTAGTTACTTAAAAAAAGGGCTCCCATTAATGCCCTTATTCTTTCACACACACATACGGGTTTTGGACCGAGGGCGACACCGTGCTTCCGGTATCAACCATTTCACGCGAGGTGCATACAGAATATCATAGTCTATTCCTTAATCAATATAGTCAACTCTAAAATACCACATATATGCATTGGCATGATAATATTATTGTGACAAGTGGGGTATTCACCTGGTGTTTCCAGAAGATAGACGTAGATGCTGCCAAAATCGACCGAAGATAGCCGACACTTCATTCTTTACTTTGTCCGTTATTATATGTAGAAGATTATACTTTTTCTCATGTTGTTTCCATAGCAACAACTTCAAACAGGCATAGCCGACACTTCATTCTTTACTTTGTCCGTTATTATATGTAGAAGATATACATTTTTCTCCGTCATGTTGTTTCCATAGCAACAACTTCAAACAATAACAACTAACCGCTAGCCGCAAAGCTAGCATCACAGCCACTGCTCCGTTTTCGGAGACTTTGCACACGTTTTCACAAACATTTCCACACGCTAGGAGTACTTCCACTAGCTTCGTCTTGATCTGTAGATGTGATTTGATGTGTCGTGTGTCCCCCAACTCCTCTCCAAAGTTCAGATATTTAATAAAATACTCCTGAGTTTCCTGAATTTTCACGCCCAAAGCCAAGCACTAAATTAAGAGGCTGATCTCGGGCACTTTTGTCCACTTTCCCTGGTGGTCGAAACTCAAGCCAGACATCCCTGGAATCGTCTCAGAGAGTAGATGATCAGTGGGGCCTTGTTTTTACTGAATGATGTGTTTTTTATGGGGAATTCAAATATGAGCTTATTTTTAGGATTATCGGAGACTTTGCACACGTTTTCACAAACATTTTCACGCTAGGAGTATGGGAGTACATCCATTCGCTTCGCCTTGATCTGTAGATGTGATTTGATGTGTCGTGTGTCTCCCAACTCCTCTCCAAAGTTCAGATACTATATACAAATACTAAAAGGTAAATAAAACATTAAACATAATGACAAAATAACAACCTGAAATATATGTATTCTATCTACACATTTCGTAATTATCTAATCTAGTGGCCTTATAAAAGTGTTGGCTAATGTAACGCAGAATAAATATATTTTTTAATTGTAAATAATTAGAAACATTATTTATGTGCACAAGTACATGGGACCCCACCATAGCACCCCACACATAACAAGCTGTCCCGAGTTCCTCCGGCTGCAGTTCCGCAGACGGCCGGTGTGTGGCAGCAGAGCGCTGGGAGCAGAGGGAGGTGAGTATATGACGGATATGACGGATGACGGATGCGACGGAAATACGCCCGAACATATCTGGTAGCCCGAACATATCTGGTACTGACACCGCCCGGACATGCTATCATGCTAACTAGCTCCCTGAAAGCGGGTGACTCCACTGTAGCAATAGCCTGCATGTGTTCTACAACATACCGTGCAATGGCTTTATCCACTTTTCCCTGGCTAGCAGTCCCTTGGTTAAAATCCAGCCGCTGTTGCTTAGGTGGAGGTGGAGTGGCGTCGGCTGAGTCTCTGTGGTCTTAGCTACTAGCTTCGTCCCAGCATGTTGTTTTTGCAGATGTTTTAAGAGATTTGAATGACTGGTTTGGGCAGTAGATAGGATCTTTGACCCGCCAAGACACAACTTACATTTAACAGAAACTTTATTTTCTTTGTGCTCGACAAAAGTGAAATAGTGAGAATATCTCCAGGTGGAGAAACTAGACTTGAGCTCCGCCGCCGCCATGATAGTCTTGTTAGTAAAGAACACAAACACGCCCACAGCGCGTCTCCGCATGTCACACAGGAAGTATCCAAGTACATTTACTCAAGTACTGTATGCCTACTTAAGTACAGTTCTCATCTCTGTTCGCCTGGCTGCTGACTATATTAAAAAAACTAACGGAGTAACGCACCATGTAGTAACGGTAACTGAGTTACTGAATTAAAAAAGTAATGCGTTAGAGTACTAGTTACTGCCAAAACAACGGCGTTACAGTAACGCGTTACTGTGTATTGCGTTAGTCCCAACACTGGTAGTGACTGACAATGGTATTTTAAACTCGATGCGCTCTGAAACTACGGGGCGGCCGAGGACAACAAATACATATATATGTGGTACTCCCCAAAAATGGTACAATTATTTGTGTATTTATTTTTGCTAAACAGTGAATTTATTGTTTTGAAAAGCTCAACATTATCTGTATTTATTTTGGTGACATTCATATAATTTTATGGTTTATCTGTACTGTTTGAGAAACAGTAATAGTAAGTAGCGCCAAGGTGGAACCTTCGGCAGGTGAGCGGTGACGCCTGGGTTATTTTAGGGGGGACACTTCCGCCCCCTCCTCAGAAGCAATGCAGACGATCAATCGGATCCTGTCTAATTCTTGCTGCTGCACTTTTTTGTTTTCTACAGGTCAGTACATGATAAAAATGATCGATGTTAACTTGTGTAAATGAGATATATTGTTAGAGATGTTTCAGAGAGTGTGTCAGAAAGTTTTGAGCATGTTTGACATAGTAACGGTATTTTTAAAATACTAAACAGTCAGCAACAATAGATGCCATTTTCGCGCGCTTCAGCCGCGCCGTGTGTAAAGGTGACCTGAGCGAAGGCTCGCAGGCAGGTTAGCTGCTGCGCACGGATAATCTGTTGTGTTCACCTGAGTGAAGTCTTGCAGGCACAATAGGCGCATTCACACTGCGGTACTTTTCCCACAAAGGTTCATGTGAACTCTTTTATCGCGTTCACACCAAAAAGAGCCGGTACTAAAATTAGTTCATGTGAACCTTTTTACCCCCACGAAAGTCCCTGCTAAAGAGCAGGGACTTTCGTGCGGCTCTCTTGTGAGAAAAGAGCTATATTTCTGACTGGCTGGGCGGATTGCAAACCACGCCCCGTAAAACTCCCAAAAAGTTTTGTGAAGCCGCCATTTTATTATCTTCGCATTAGCATTATTAGCATTAGCATTAGCCCAGCGCAGAAACGCAGAGAGACTAACTTATGGCAACACAAAATAAAACATGGGAGCGGTGGAGATGAGGAGGTGTCGGCGTTCTGGCGATTTACTCCGAAGGCTTCAGTAGAAGCTGCTGGGACTCCCAGCAGCTTCTACTGAAGCCAGTCCCAACTCCGGGGACTTCCGGCCGGGGACTTTGGGCGGCAGTATATGCCGTGAAGTGGTTTGCGGCCTGCCAGTAAACCCTAAAGCAGAAGAAGAACAAGTGACGTCAGCGGCTTCATTTGCCTAATCCTCCCCCAGGGACTTTTTCCAGTGTGAACGCGATCTGTACTTAGTTCATGCGAACTAAAGAGTTCACATGAACTAAGTTCACATGAACCTTTGTGGGAAAAGTACTGCAGTGTGAATGCGCCTCTTGCCTTGTTTTTTGTTTATTAACACTGACAGTGTATTTATGTGAGCTCCATAATATGTTATATTTGGTAAAGATAGATATATTGATAGAAAGTATTATTTGATAGCGTTATGTGTTTATATTGTTGTTGAATTTCTCCTTGAGATACAGTAATGGACTGTGACAGACGGATAACTTAAATGGAGAAATGTGATGTGTTTGTAAAGTACAGCTATTTGAGTGTAACCATGTGTACTTTAAATTTTGAATAAGAAGCACTCCAGAAGATCAATCGGATCCTGTGTCTAATTCTTGCTGCTGCACTTTTCTGTTTTCTACAGATATCATTTATTGTTGCTGTGGTACCCAAGCTTTTGGGACCCGTAACATATAATAATAATATAACATATAATCAATCAATGAGTAAATGTGTCTTTCAGAAGCCCCTTGATTACATGATGGTTATTAAGTCATCTCAATATATTTACGTTTTCTTTCAGGCTGTCTCTGTCATTAAGGTGAGTTATCACGATGCCGGGGAAAAACGGTGACCAGTTCAAACCGGGAGACCTGGTGTTTGCCAAGATGAAGGGATTCCCCCACTGGCCTGCCAGGGTACACACACACACACACACACACACACACACACACACACGTACAGATGTGTATTCCTAGCTAACGTGATATTCTGTGTGTTCAGGTGTGTCCGTGTGACGGCGGTGGAAGAAATAAGAGCATCCCGGTCTACTTCTTCGGCATGCATCAGATGTACACACACACACACACACACACACACACACACACACACACACACACAGAGAGAGAGTAATCCTGACAGCAAAGACATGATGACTTCAAAGTTTAATATCCGTCCTCAGAGGAACGATCCCTCCGGAGAACATCGTGCCGTACGTCGGGAACAAGCTGAAGTTCGGCAGCGGCGTCCGGATCAAAGGCTTCACTGAAGGCATGTGGGAGATCCAGAACACCCCCGCCGTGGGGAGTAAACTCAAAGTAAGAGTCGCTTATTAAAACTGATATTCTGTTAAATCCTCTCTTCATTAGACTCCAGTTTACAACCAGTAACAATCTGGGGAGGGGGAACGTGGATTTTGGGTCTGCTTGTCCATTTTTTCAATAAAATATAAAGAAAAGTATTTATATTAGGGCTGTCAGTCGATTAAAATATTTAATCGCATGATGTCCATAGTTAATCGCGATTAATCGCACATTTTATATCTGTTCTAAATGTACCTTGGAGGGATATTTTTCAAGTTTTTAATACTCTTATCAACATATGAGTGGACAAATATGCTTTATGCAAATGTGTGTTTATCATTTGAACAATGACAAATATTCTCCTGAATATTCTAAACAGAACAACCTCTCTACACTTTCTCCCAACGCTGTGTCCTTCTCTGCACTGAGCCAGTTGCTCAAACAGACAAGCCTGTTTACAGTTGTCTGCGAAATGCCGCTCCTCTGTCTTCATATCAGTCAAAGCATGAGACTGAAGTTCCCACCTAGGGTCAAAATAATGCGCTGTGATGTGCAGTCAACACGTTGGATGCGATCCGAATGATCTCACACACTCCCTCGTCCTCCACAATGTTAATTGTCCTGCAAGCTGTAGCCCCCCCATTTAGCTATCGCTGTTGAAAGCTTGCTGCTCGTATACGCCGTGTCCAGGCGTCTCCCCGGCGTCTCCCCGGCAAACCTTCTAGCGTGGTCTGCCGCTCGCTTGCATCAGCTGTGTGCTTGGCTTGCTGTTTAAAACACATTTTCTTGTATCCATATCTCTCGCTAGAATCTCCCACCATCCAACTAACAACAACGTCAAGCCTTTGGGCTCTGAAACTACGGGGCGGGCCGAGAACAAATACACTAGGGATTGACCAATGTGGCTTTTTCAAGGCCGATACGGATTATTATCAAGGAGGCCGATAACGATATACATTTGTAGTCAAATCAGAAAATCTTTGTCAAAATGTAGAATAACAGAACTTCTTTGAAATGCCTTTTTATTTTTAATGAACTTTTCAACATCTTAAAACTGGTTTCCTCTCTGTGACCCTGAGTAAAGTAAATGAAGTTAAAATAAAAACTACTAAAACTTGTTCTGAACTTCTGATAGTTGAGTCTCACTCATTTAGTAGTCCCAATTCAGCAGCACCAGATTGTGGTTGCTGCGAGGCTCCACTAGCAGCCGTCACAGTCCCAGTCGTCCCAGCGCGTCAGTTGCCCCCCCGGTCCCTTTGTAACTGGGAAACTGATAGAATTGGATCATAAGATCTTGGTGTTTTTGCAACTTCGGCATAGGGGATTGGGATGTTTATTGAACTTCGGCTTTAACTGATTTACCTTGGAAACACCGCTCACTGCTGCTGCTTGCCTCTGTCTGCATTCTTCGCACCTGCCTGTAATCTGAGAAGGTCCCGCCTCTCTGGCTGGCTGCTGCCCGGAAAATCTTCAGTGTTGATTGACACTTCAGTAATAGCCTATCAGATAGCGCTGTGAGCGGGACATTGCTCGTGAACAGTGCTGACTGCAGCCAGAGAAACGGCCGCATCAGAGCCAAAGTTTTATCGGCAATTTGATTTTTAAAAAAAGGCTGATACCGATAATCTGTAAAATGCGGAATATCGTCCTCGATAATCGGCCAGGCCGATAATCGGTAGACCCCTAAAATACGTTAAAATAATTAGTGGAGTCAACAAATTACGCGTTAACTTGACAGCCCTATATAAAAGTAGCTTTATATCCATTTTGTTGTCTATTTAAACAATATGTTTGCCCGCTTTCCCATTTTCGACTGCAACTTCTACACAATCATTTCCTCCTTGATTATTATTATTAATTTGTATTGATCCACTTTAAATGTAATTGATTATTTTATTTGATGAAGCCGTGCTTCTTATCGTCCCATTAGCGACTAATCAATTTCTATCCACCAGGGCGTGCAATGATTTTGCCTTTTTCACTGACAAAATTCAGAAAATCAGACCAGCAGTCAGTGCCTCTGCATCAGGAACAGCAAATGTGTTGTCTCTGTGTCCACTTAACATCAATTCAAACACCATGACACAGGTCCATCAGATTAATGATAAAAACCTAGAGGACATTATACAACTTCTGAAGTCCTCCTCTTGCTGCCTTGATATTATTCTAACAGGATTTTTCAAAGATGTTTTGCCTTGCATGGCCTCAGATCTACTTCATATAGTAAACAAATCTCTTCACTCAGGTATTTTTCCACAGGCCCTGAAAACTGCAGTCATTAAACCGCTCTTAAAAAAGAATAATCTAGATGCTTCAGTAATGAACAATTACAGGCCCATATCAAACCTCCCATTTCTAGGGAAAATCATTGAAAAAGTTGTTTTTCAACAGTTGAGTAATTTCTTGCATTTAAATAACTGTTTCGATGTGTTCCAGTCAGGCTTTCGTCCAAACCACAGCACTGAGACTGCTTTTGTAAAGGTCTTTAATGACATCCACTTAAACACAGACAGTGGCAGAACTTCAGTGTTAGTATTATTAGATCTCAGTGCTGCGTTTGACACTGTTGACCACAACATATTACTAGACCGACTGGAACACTGGGTGGGACTTTCGGAAACAGTTCTGAATTGGTTTGAATCCTACTTAAAGGACAGAAACAACTTTGTTTCTATAGGTAAATACACATCTGAGTTGACAAATATGACATGTGGGGTTCCTCAAGGCTCCATCTTGGGGCCTCTTCTCTTTAACATCTACATGCTACCACTGGCTCAGATAATGAAAAACAACTAAATAAGTTACCATAGCTATGCGGATGACACACACATTTACGTAACAATTTCACCAGGAGACTATGCTCCAGTTCAAACACTGAGTAAGTGCATTGAACAAATCAATGACTGGATGTGTCAGAACTTTCTCCAATTAAACAAAGATAAAACTGAGGTAATGGTTTTTTGGAGCCAAGGCAGAACGTATAAAAGTTAGCGCTGAGCTTCAGTCTGCAATGTTCAAAACAACAGATAAAGCCAGAAATCTAGGTGTAGTCATGGACTCTGACCTGAGTTTCAACAGTCACATTAAAACAGTTACTAAATCAGCCTACTATCACCTAAAGAATATATCTAGGATTAAAAGACTAATGTCACAGCAGGATTTGGAAAAACTTGTCCATGCTTTTATCTTCAGTAGACTCGACTACTGCAATGGTGTCTTCACAGGTCTCACTAAAACATCTATTAGGAAGCTGCAGCTGATTCAGAACGCTGCTGCTCGAGTCCTCACTAACAATAAGAAAGTGGATCACTCCTGTTCTGAAGTCTTTACACTGGCTTCCTGTGTGTCAAAGAATAGATTTCAAAATACTGCTGCTGGTTTATAAAGCACTGAATGGTTTAGGCCCAAAATACATTTCTGACCTCCTGCTAAATGATGAACCATCCAGATCTCTCAGGTCTTCAGGGACTGGTCAGCTTTCTGTCCCCAGAGTCAGAACTAAACATGGAGAAGCAGCGTTCAGTTATTATACTCCAAATATCTGGAACTCCCAGAAACCTGCAGGTCCGCTGCAACTCTGACTACTTTCAAATCCAGCAAGAAGACTTTTCTTTTTGTCGCTGCTTTTAATTGAACTATTCATATCTTAAACTGCACTGTAACTTTTATCCATGTATTTTTGCTTTTAATGTTTATTTTATTAGCTTTTCTTTTTAATGACTGATTTTAAATGCCATTTTCTTAATCTCTTTCATTTTTTGTTAAGCACTTTGAATTGCCTTGTGTTGAAAAGTGCTATATAAATAAACTTGCCTTGCCTTACCTAATCTCAGTGTTTTCTTCTCTTTTGAACTTTATCTGTCAGCTTGAATCAGAGCAAGAAAATAACAACGCTCCAGGTGAATAACATACTCTCACACACACACACACACACACACACACACACACACACACACACATACACACACACTTTGTAAGGATGATTTTTATCTCCAACAGTCAACAAGAAACTGCAGAGAGAGAGCGGGCAGGCGGACAAGAGGCAGAGTTTCCTGAAGTCTCTGAAAGGGTTACTGACGGACGAGAGAGGAGGCCGCAGGAGGAGCTCGCTGTAACAAACACACACACACACACACACACACACACACAACATATTCATTTATTCATTGTTAAAATATGCTTTTATTCTTCTGTGTTTATGAGACAGAAAATAGAGGGGTTTTTCCAGATTCAAGTTTATATTCATTTTTTATTTTATTTAATAAAAAGCATTGGGATAAAATCTCATTTCCAATGCTGACCTGGCCAAGAAGCTTAGCGGCAAAATACACCATTTCATTTGACTTCCTTATAAGGAAATTATTTATTTTCTTTCTTTGATTTAGCATTTATAAAATAGATTCTAGATTTGTTTAAGTCAAATAATTACGTATTTGTTAAACCATAGAAGAAAAAATATATTTGTTTTTTAAATGAACAGAATAACTTAATTGATGTATTATTTTTAGTGCTGTCAAAATTATCGCGTTAACGGCGGTAATTAATTTTTTGAATTAATTGCATTAAAATATTTAACGCATTTAACGCATGTGCAGAATGGCCCGCCCCATACATGCCACCAGTGGCAGCGCCAGGGTATGGCTGGGGTAGGCTACACCCATACCAAGAAATGGCTTAGCCCCACCATGAAAAATGATGTCAAAGTAAGCAAAATAAAGTCTGCCAACTCGCGGAGTAAATTGCACAGACAGCAGTTAGTAAGATTGATTTCAGTAGCCACGGTTTTGAAAACTTTTGTCACGTAGTGATCGACTTCTCAATAGAACATCTTTGATAATGTCTTCTGGCCAATCAGAATCAAGATAACGGCGTGGTGTTGTTGCAGGAAGTCCCGACGGAGAATACTTTTGCTGTAGTACAGGGGTGCACATAACTGGTAAGCTGGTTATGTAAGTATCTGAAATGCGTACCGTCACTTGTGTCACAAAGCGCATTTGCGTACCGACGTACTTGTGAAGCTTTTCCATAAGGCGGTTAGATCACCGGACGACAGAGTCGGTCTCCGTGTGCACAGACAGGGCTGCTGTTAACGTCGGTCTGTACAACGGAATTGTGCCAAAACTACGCTGGAGAACTGCGCTAAAACAGCTGATCACAACGTTCACACTCTGTGGCCACGAAGTACTCCACTAACCGCCGCCCCCCACCCCCCTCTGTCGACTTTCCTGAAGTACTCCCCCGTTGATAGAAATCAACACGTAATGAATTAAGACCCCACGGTTTGATGATTGATTTAGTAGTAATAATAATAATACTATAACATAGATACTGTATGTTAAATGGATATATCCGCCTTCTTTCATTTATCTTTCCATTCCCACAACAATATACATAAATAAATGGCATATTTTGGACATAGTTCGAATGGTGATTAATCATGGTTAATTCATTTTTAAGCTGTGATTAATCTGATTAAAAATGTTGATCGTTTGACAGCCCTAATTATTTTTTAACATTTCTCAGGAGGGATGCAGCCACGACCAGCTCGGAGGTTACAGCCACGACCAGCTCGGAGGTTACAGCCACGACCAGCTCGGAGGTTACAGCCACGACCAGCTCGGAGGTTACAGCCACGACCAGCTCGGAGGTTACAGCCACGACCAGCTCGGAGGTTACAGCCACGACCAGCTCGGAGGTTACAGCCACGACCAGCTCGGAGGTTACAAAGGGGAGTCAGGCGACAACATCGGACAAAAAGAACGACAACAGGAAGTCAGAAACAAGGAGGAGTCAGGCGGAAAAAGTTGCATCAACGGAGGACAAAAAAGACAAGAAGGGAACGGAGGGCAAGAAGGAAAATGAAGCGATGAAAAAATCTACTTCCAAAACCTCAGAAAAGAAAGAAAGCAACGTGGAGAAAATGGCAAGGAAAGACCAGAAGAAGAAAGAGGAAACGACAGACAATAAACACAAAGTGTCTGACGGGAAAACAACCGCAGAGCAGACGACTAAACCACAGAAGAAGACGACTAAACCACAGAAGAAGAAAGAAGAAACGGAGGTGAAGAAAACAGCCATGAAAGACCAGAAGAAGGAGAAACCTGAGAAGAAAGACGGGAAAACAACCGAAGAGTCGGACAAGAAATGCACCGAAGACACGAAACCACAGAAGAAGAAAGCGGTGGGAGCATCACAGTCTGAGGACGAGGACAAGAAGAGGAAGAAGAGTTCAGATGTTTCCATGAAGAGCGGTTCGTCGGAGCAGAAGAACTCAACGCTGCACCGTGTCAAAGGAGACATCCGGATCTCTCTGAAGACACAAAACCCCGTAAGAGTTCACTGATTTAATATTATAGGGAAACCTTTAAAGAGTCCTCTCCTGCTGATGTTCAGGTGTATATCAGTATGTAGTGTCTCTACTTTAAAGAGTCCTCTCCTGCTGATGTTCAGGTGTATATCAGTATGTAGTGTCTCTACTTTAAAGAGTCCTCTCCTGTTGATGTTCAGGTGTATATCAGTATGTAGTGTCTCTACTTTAAAGAGTCCTCTCCTGCTGATGTTCAGGTGTATATCAGTATGTAGTGTCTCTACTTTAAAGAGTCCTCTCCTGCTGATGTTCAGGTGTATATCAGTATGTAGTGTCTCTACTTTAAAGAGTCCTCTCCTGCTGATGTTCAGGTGTATATCAGTATGTAGTGTTTCTACTTTAAAGAGTCCTCTCCTGCTGATGTTCAGGTGTATATCAGTATGTAGTGTCTCTACTTTAAAGAGTCCTCTCCTGCTGATGTTCAGGTGTATATCAGTATGTAGTGTTTCTACTTTAAAGAGTCCTCTCCTGCTGATGTTCAGGTGTATATCAGTATGTAGTGTCTCTACTTTAAAGAGTCCTCTCCTGCTGATGTTCAGGTGTATATCAGTATGTAGTGTCTCTACTTTAAAGAGTCCTCTCCTGCTGATGTTCAGGTGTATATCAGTATGTAGTGTCTCTACTTTAAAGAGTCCTCTCCTGCTGATGTTCAGGTGTATATCAGTATGTAGTGTCTCTACTTAAAGAGTCCTCTCCTGCTGATGTTCAGGTGTATATCAGTATGTAGTGTTTCTACTTTAAAGAGTCCTCTCCTGCTGATGTTCAGGTGTATATCAGTATGTAGTGTCTCTACTTTAAAGAGTCCTCTCCTGCTGGTGTTCAGGTGTATATCAGTATGTAGTGTCTCTACTTTAAAGAGTCCTCTCCTGCTGATGTTCAGGTGTATATCAGTATGTAGTGTCTCTACTTTAAAGAGTCCTCTCCTGCTGATGTTTAGGTGTATATCAGTATGTAGTGTCTCTACTTTAAAGAGTCCTCTCCTGCTGATGTTCAGGTGTATATCAGTATGTAGTGTCTCTACTTTAAAGAGTCCTCTCCTGCTGATGTTCAGGTGTATATCAGTATGTAGTGTCTCTACTTTAAAGAGTCCTCTCCTGCTGATGTTCAGGTGTATATCAGTATGTAGTGTCTCTACTTTAAAGAGTCCTCTCCTGCTGATGTTCAGGTGTATATCAGTATGTAGTGTTTCTACTTTAAAGAGTCCTCTCCTGCTGATGTTCAGGTTGTATATCAGTATGTAGTGTCTCTACTTTAAAGAGTCCTCTCCTGCTGATGTTCAGGTGTATATCAGTATGTAGTGTTTCTACTTTAAAGAGTCCTCTCCTGCTGATGTTCAGGTGTATATCAGTATGTAGTGTCTCTACTTTAAAGAGTCCTCTCCTGCTGATGTTCAGGTGTATATCAGTATGTAGTGTCTCTACTTTAAAGAGTCCTCTCCTGCTGATGTTCAGGTGTATATCAGTATGTAGTGTCTCTACTTTAAAGAGTCCTCTCCTGCTGATGTTCAGGTGTATATCAGTATGTAGTGTCTCTACTTTAAAGAGTCCTCTCCTGCTGATGTTCAGGTGTATATCAGTATGTAGTGTTTCTACTTTAAAGAGTCCTCTCCTGCTGATGTTCAGGTGTATATCAGTATGTAGTGTCTCTACTTTAAAGAGTCCTCTCCTGCTGATGTTCAGGTGTATATCAGTATGTAGTGTCTCTACTTTAAAGAGTCCTCTCCTGCTGATGTTCAGGTGTATATCAGTATGTAGTGTTTCTACTTTAAAGAGTCCTCTCCTGCTGATGTTCAGGTGTATATCAGTATGTAGTGTCTCTACTTTAAAGAGTCCTCTCCTGCTGATGTTCAGGTGTATATCAGTATGTAGTGTCTCTACTTTAAAGAGTCCTCTCCTGCTGATGTTCAGGTGTATATCAGTATGTAGTGTCTCTACTTTAAAGAGTCCTCTCCTGCTGATGTTCAGGTGTATATCAGTATGTAGTGTCTCTACTTTAAAGAGTCCTCTCCTGCTGATGTTCAGGTGTATATCAGTATGTAGTGTCTCTACTTTAAAGAGTCCTCTCCTGCTGATGTTCAGGTGTATATCAGTATGTAGTGTCTCTACTTTAAAGAGTCCTCTCCTGCTGATGTTCAGGTGTATATCAGTATGTAGTGTCTCTACTTTAAAGAGTTCTCTCCTGCTGATGTTCAGGTGTATATCAGTATGTAGTGTTTCTACTTTAAAGAGTCCTCTCCTGCTGATGTTCAGGTGTATATCAGTATGTAGTGTCTCTACTTTAAAGAGTCCTCTCCTGCTGATGTTCAGGTGTATATCAGTATGTAGTGTCTCTACTTTAAAGAGTCCTCTCCTGCTGATGTTCAGGTGTATATCAGTATGTAGTGTCTCTACTACTCGACAGAGGGGGGCGGCTAGTGGAGTACTTCATGACCACAGAGTGTGAACGTTGTGATCAGCTGTTTTAGCGCAGTTCTCCAGTGAAGGGGGGAGTCTCCCTCCGCAGCCGGTTGGCGTAGTTTTGGCACAGTTCCGTTGTACAGACCGACGTTAACAGCAGCCCTGTCTGTGCACACGGAGACCGACTCTGTCGTCCGGTGATCTAACCGCCTTCTGGAAAAGCTTCCCAAGTACGTCGGTACGCAAATGCGCTTTGTGACACAAGTGACGGTACGCATTTCGGATTACGCACATAACCTGCGTACCAGTTATGTGCACCCCTGTACTACAGCAAAAGTATTCTCCGTCGGGACTTCCTGCAACAACACCACGCCGTTATCTTGATTCTGATTGGCCAGAAGACATTATCAAAGATGTTCTATTGAGAAGACGATCAATACGTGACAAAAGTTTTCAAAACCGTTTCTGGTCTTCGGTATTTCCAGACAAGTGGCTGAAATCAATCTGACTAACTGCTGTCTGTGCAATTCTCGGCGCGAGTTGGCGGACTTTATTTTGCTTACTTTAACATCATTTTTCATGGTGGGGCTAAGCCATTTCTTGGTATGGGTGTAGCCTACCCCAGCCATACCCTGGCGCTGCCACTGGTCGCAGGTATGGGGCGGGCCATTCTGCACATGCGTTAAATGCGTTAAATATTTTAACGCAATTAATTCAAAAAATTAATTAGCGCCGTTAACGCGATAATTTTGACAGCATTAATAAAAACACTTATGTTGTTTTCTTGTATTGATTTGTACAAAGTAGCAGGAAATGGAAATACTGAAGTAAAGTACAAGTTTATATGCAGGGCTGCACATAACTGGTGCGCATGCGCACCTCCGCCAAAAAATGAGCACCGGGTCATTTGAAAAAAGGTGCATTTGCGTACCAACATTGAGAGAGAGAGAGAAGAGACAGAAGGGAGAAGAGAAAAGAGAGGAGAGAAGAGAGGAGAGAGAGAAAGATATTTGCGAGTTGCATATGAACTCAGGGTCGGCGTAATAAATGTTCGCCTAGGGCGCCAGATCCGGGGAGGCGCTGCGCTGACAGCTCTGGGAGGGGAAAACAATTTTTTGACCGTTGGGGCTCATCCTAATTTTCGGCCTTGATGTAACAATATTCATAATTAAGTAAATGTAACACCCTTTTCACCCCGGTTACACTTTTCATTTGCCCTGTACGATGGGCGCTGTAAGTGATGAAAATGGGGGATGTTGGCTTATCTGGCGCCCACAGCTCACAGCCAAAGTGCGAGTGAGCGTGGGATCGAGGGAGGGTGCACCGGTTCCGGCGCTGTTGTTATTAGTATCTGGTGCTAGCTGCTCTAACGGATATAAGAAGAAGATGTTTCTACAATAATGTGGAGGGAAAGTCCTCTCCAGTCAGACTGAGAGGCTGATAACTACAGCTCAGTGAGGTAAAGGACTGTGGAGTGTTTAGATAGTTCACTTTAATCTAAGTTCAAACGTTTTGGTCACAATTTATGTAAACACATATTTCCAAAGCACTCCTTTATAATTATTGGGATAAACAGGTTTGAAATCATTCCAATGTATACTATAGGACAGTAACCAAACATATCCTTTAAAACTGGAAAGATTAAAACAAATGCATAAATAAATAAATGTTAAGGTAAAATAAGATATGAATGAACAACAACAATAATAAAATAAGTTACATCCATTTGTTATTGGCTATGGTAGGTTATTGGTTATGTTCACATACTTATTTGATTACATCCACTTGTCTAAGATGACAACAGAGACTTTCGACCCAAAACCAGCTGTTGACTTGTGGATGCAAGCAGCTAATCGCAGACTCAACCAGAGAGAAAGAAGTAGGCCTACATCATCAGCTACCATGTCTGACAGAGAGGAAGACAGTGAGGAGAACAGTCAGGAGGGAAGTGATGACAGCTTGTAGGATTACTGGTCATGCTAATGTTGTCTTGTGTTCTGTGTTCACCTCTGCATGTGTGTTCTGTGTTCACCTCTGCATGTGTGTTCTGTGTTCACCTCTGCATGTGTGTTCTGTGTTCACCTCTGCATGTGTGTTCTGTGTTCACCTCTGCATGTGTGTTCTGTGTTCACCTCTGCATGTGTGTTCTGTGTTCACCTCTGCATGTGTGTTCTGTGTTCACCTCTGCATGTGTGTTCAGTGCCGTGTGTCTGTCAAATAAAGTCAAACCCCTCAAAAGTTACGGTTTATTTCATTTTAAGGATGAGCACCAAGCAACATCTCCAGGTGCTCCTTTGAGAACCAGGGCAAACAAGTTATGTGCACCCCTGTTTATATGAATGGTCTTTATTTAAACTACTGGTATATTGAAAAGAAATACTTTGTGTTTTTAGTAATATTATCCCATCATCTTTGCAACATCATTTTTGTTCCTTTCTGTAATAGCTTATTTTTGTAATGCCTTACTTATTATATTTTGTATTTTCATTATTAGAGCAACTGTGTCAAAACCACATTTTCCCATAGGATTAAAAAACCAGCTTTCATTTGTAGCTTGTGGAACTAAAGTCTGATTTAACACTGGATTATATTTCACATCATTCATCCACATCTGTAAAGTAACTAAAGGTATTAAATACATGTAGTGGAGCAAAAGTACACCATTTACATCTGAACTGTAGTGGAGTAGAAGTAGCATACAATGTGAATACTCAAGTAAAGTACAAGTACCTCTATGGTTGTACAGTACTTGAGTAAATGTACTTCCCACCTCTGCTGCTAAGCTACTTCTTAGCTGTAGATTGGTTTTGTGTTGACTGTAGTGTTAATACTTATTTCAGAGACCCAGCAGGAGAAGGAGCACTGAGAGCAGCATGGAGGAGAACAACGAGGCCCCCAGACCTCAGGTTAGTGTTCACTTCATCACAATATATTCCTAACACTGTTATCCCTTACACTGGGGGACATTTGGGTTATTTAAGGACTTTAAACCTGTACTTTTATTTAAGGAGAAAACAAACTTGAACATTGTGGGGTTTATTTTACAGACATCTATTTTAGTTTTTAGATCTATCTGCATCACAGCCTCTCACTGACTCTTTATCTGTCTGTCTTTTTTAGAAACAGAGAAGAAGAAGAAAAGAACCCCAACTTTTCAGCTGTGACCAATGTGGGAAAGATTTCACTGAATCAAGTAAACTTCAGAGGCATTATCATATTCACACAGGAGAGAAACGACAAAGCTGTGATCAATGTGGGAAAACATTTTCTCAAAAAAGTCATCTTTCAGCCCACCAGCGCATCCACACAGGAGAGAAACCCTACAGCTGTGAAGAGTGTGGAAACACTTTCACTACATCATATAGTCTCAAAAATCATTCTCGTATTCACACTGGAGAGAAACCCTACAGCTGTGAAGAGTGTGGAAACACTTTCACTACATCATATAATCTCAAAAATCATCGTCGTGTTCACACAGGTGAGAAACCATACTGCTGTGAAGAGTGTGGCAAGTCATTCATTGCATCAGGTGAACTCACAATCCATCGTCGTGTTCACACAGGAGAGAAACCATACAGCTGTGAAGAGTGTGACAAGTCATTCATTACATCAGGTCAACTCACAATCCATCGTCGTGTTCACACTGGAGAGAAACCATACAGCTGTGAAGAGTGTGACAAGTCATTCATTACATCAGGTCAACTCACAATCCATCGTCGTGTTCACACAGGAGAGAAACCATACTGGTGTGAAGAGTGTGGCAAGTCATTCATTGCATCAGGTCAACTCACAATCCATCGTCGTGTTCACACAGGAGAGAAACCATACTGGTGTGAAGAGTGTGGGAGAACCTTTTCTCAAAGTTATAACCTTAAAGTCCACCAGCGCACTCACTCTGCCTCCATCTGATCATTTTCTGAGTCAAGCTAGCATTCCTCCTGATTTTCTCCAAATGTTCTAATTTAATTTAAATGTAAGGGTTATGCGCATTCAGTGTCCATTTACTGTTGAGTCCAGAGTTTTACATTCTGGAGGAGTTAGACACCCCTCCTATAAAATGCATCATAACTGACTCAGCATATGCAGGTCTTTTTTATAATAAAACAACCGTTGGCTCTGGTGGATATTGAATGACTATTTGCCTGATAAACGGCCTTCCTAGGAAGACTAACACCATTGGCTCCACTAGTATATAGGCCCCCTTCACTCTCACCTCAGTGCATGATCGTATTTCGCAGTATGCAGTTCGTTCCCTCATTACCTCCCAGATTGCTCTCCTGGTTTTCACCCTGCCTGACCAGACTGCCTCGCCTGCTCCCTGACCCTGCCTGAACCCGGACTATTCTGCCTCGCCTGCTCCCTGACCCTGCCTGTACCCGGACTAGTCTGCCTCGCCTGTTCCCTGACCCTGTCTGTACCTGCGGTTCCCGTCTTGCCTACTCCTGGAACCCTCGCCTTTCCCCGACCAGCCCTTTGCCTACTGTCTGCCGGTTTGTCTACAACGTTATGTGTATGTTACAACTTTGTACTTTTGTCTTACAACTGTTCTTTGGAAACAAGTAATAATAAAGCTGGTTACTATGGGGGTTATTCCCTATCTTTATTCAAGAGCGTGGTCTTTAAATTTGAGAGTATCATTTATGGACTTCACGTTCAGATGTCGTTTTTCTTTCCCTCAAACCCTTTCCGCGCACTCAAATAGTGCCTGCTTGCACTAGATTTGCTCTGCTTCTGCTCAAACTGTACGCTTGCACTCAGATATATCGCCAAATCTGGGGCCTGCGGGGTGTTTCTTCACGAAACTGTGTCTCAGGGCATCTTAATATTTATATACATATTAATGTGTCATACTCACTTTAACGGTTAGAAACTCAGCTAACTGAAGATACGAACCATTTTTATAGAAACAAAGCACAAGTCTCACAAGAAGTGTCTAAATGAGTCCTGAGCGAAAAAATGCCATCGCACTTAGCACAGAACTCAAGGTTAAAAACACCCTTATTACTTATCGTAACTGCACATACAAGATATCCGATTAAAGCTGAGATTCCACAGATTCTATAGGTATTGGTATCATCACTGAGTGATCAGAACTCGCGACAGGGGAACCAAACAGACATCACAACACGTAGCATTACGGAGCAAACACGGGAGATCGTCTCACCTTAGCTGTTGGTTTCTGATCCAAAGTCGTTTTCAATGGCATTAAAAAGATAAAGAAGCTTCTGAAGGTTAATCCAATGTGTCTTTGAAATGATTACTGATAATTAGGGGTCGGTATCGTTTGAAATGTATCGATTCCGGTTCTTATCAATTCCCCGTTTTGATTCCAAAATTGTAAAAGAAAGAGGTCAAACGTTTAGATAACAAAAATATCTTTATTCTTTTTACAAACAAATATATACATGCAATACACATTTATTGCACAATAGCTGTGCTTTATTTTAACTGAGCTATGCCTGTGGCAAGCTATTAACAGGCTTTACACTGTGCCTTGTCTTTTTCTTTCTTAGTGTAGTGGAGCCTCACTTCAGAGCGTTTACCGCGATCCATCTTTGGTGTTATGAAGTGACTGAGCTCGTGAAATGTCTACGGGAGGGCGGGGGGAGCCTCGCTGCGGGGCAACTGTGGACCTCTGTCGCCTGTCAGCGCAACTTACATGATGCCGTTATTAAGGGCGGTGCCGGCCATCAGCGTACCGAGCCGGTGTTCCGGATTAACAGGTTCCCTCGTTAACTGGTTTCCCGATCGCTTCTTCTGTCGTTTACATACATCTTTTGGTATATTTGGCTCGGTAGGAAAACGTTGATGCACATTCAGTACCAGTGTGTGAGGTTGTGGTTACGATGGAGATATCCGGACGCGAACAGCGGGGACTACAAAAAGAAAAACGAGTTAACTGGGGATGTCTGTTCAAAACATTGCGAGCTCCAATAAATCATTTAAACCAGCTATTGTTGCCAGACTTATTACTGAATATCGTTCTTAATGTGATACCAAGTCCATCTGAGACCTGTGTACACCTTCAGACAGCCTCCAAGTGAAGCACACGTTGTTTACTCAGAGTTTGAAAGTAGCGTGGAGAAGTCTTCAGCTGTGAACTGTAAACTGTGATCCTCTCAGGTAAACATCCGCCCAGGTTGTGGCTATCTACCAGCGATCATGTTTAATATGAAAGACTACACACACATTTATCCCTTATAAAAACAGTATTCTGCAGCACTCATCCAGATAAGATGTGACTGTTAACTCGTTTTGCAAAGATAGCAGCAGAAATGTCCTTGCTGCATGTGCAGGTACTTAGACTTTAAAATGCTGATGGGTCATTAATGTTGGTCTCGGCAAACACTTAGGAATCCTCTATTCAAACATAATATTCAGTGTCCATCGACATGAAAATAACAGATGTTGTAAAGTCATATCATTGCATGTTAGTTCACCAGTCCACTAGGTGGCACTGTGACATTGAAGTTGTTGCCGACCATAAGCATAAAAGAGGAACTGGGGGCTATGTTGTTATGCTAAGTATGTGATGAACCGGAGTCGCAGCTCGGCGCTACCAGAAACCAATAAACTCCACTATGCTCACCAGAAGCCTCCTGTGAGTTACTACATAATGGCGACGAGGATAAAAGTACAGCAGATGCCTGGTGGAAATGCACACAAATGAGCGAGACTGTTGAGTGGCTACGTTAACGGCACCAAACACCGGACAGTGGTGTGAGCTAGAAGATGGCGGCGGCAATGGTAGGGAACACCGCTCCTTTTGATAGTCAATCCCAGACGTGGGAGGAATATTGTGAGGTTCTCCAATATTTCTTTGAAGCTAATGAGATCGAAGATGCAGGTCGGCAGAAAGCTATTTTGCTCAGTTCAGTTGGCAGTCAGACTTACAGACTTATGAGGAACCTTATCAGCCCGGCGAGGCCAGGAGAGAAGACGTTTGATGAGCTTGTTCAGCTGCTGAAAGACCATTTCTACCCCAAACCCAGTGAAATTGTACAGCGCTACAAATTTAACTCAAGAAGTAGGAAGCTGGGAGAAACAGTCATGGAGTATGTTGCTGTGCTAAGGAAATTAGCACAAGATTGTAACTATGGAGACAAGTTAACAGAAATGCTGCGTGACAGGCTGGTCTGTGGGATTGGGGAGGATCGCATACAACGGCGATTGTTGTCAGAGCCGGATTTGACCTTCGACAGGGCACTGAAGCTGGCCCAGGCTATTGAGACAGCCAGCAAGAATGTGAGAGATTTACAGTCATTGGAGTCGGCACCCTCGCACATGAGAGCACCTGAGGCAGTGCACACGATGACGGCAAGGCAGAGCCCCAGTGAGCAGCATCTCCAGCATAAGGCTTGTTACAGGTGTGGCAGTGAGCAGCACATAGCTGGGGACTGTAGGTTTATTAAAGAAACCTGTCACAAGTGTGGGAAGATAGGCCATATTCAGAAAGTGTGTAGGTCAAAAGGCTCAGTTAGTGCTTCACAAGCAAAAGGGGGTGGAGTATATCAGAGATATAAGCATGTGAAAACTCAGGGAGCAAACTATGTCAGCCAGGGGGAGGGCGAAAAAGATGACATAGACACAGATGAGATCATGTTCACTTTGTACAAAGTGGAGGAAATAGACATACCGGCAGAGGAGCCATTTCTAGAAACACTGACTATTAACGAAACTGAAACACAGTTTGAAGTAGACTCAGGATGTGGGGTAACAGTGGTGAACCACTCAGTGTACAAAACCTTATGGAGGGGAGAGGTACCAGCCCTACAACCCTGCAGAGTGAGACTCAGAACATACACAGGACATAGGGTAAATGTTTTGGGAGCAGCTATGGTAAAAGTTCAGCACAAACAGTCAGTAAAAAACCTACCAGTGGTAGTTGTGCCAGGGACGGGCCCTAGTCTAGTTGGCTGGAACTGGATTAAGAAGCTAGGTTTGCAGTGGAGACCGGAAAGCCAGATTCACCATGTCAGGGAAGAGACCTTGGAGGAGGTACTTGTGGAATATGAGGAGGTTTTCAAAGAGGAACTAGGGAAATTTAAAGGGGCCCCAGCTAAACTATATGTGGACAAGGAAGCAACCCCCAGGTTTTTTAAAGCTAGACCGGTCCCGTATGCAATGAGAGGAAGGGTTGAGGCCGAACTGGACCGTCTCCTAGCCCAGGAGATAATTGAACCGGTAAAATATGTGGGCAGCGCCTGTGGTACCGGTGTTAAAACCAGATGACTCAGTAAGGTTGTGCAGTGATTACAAACTGACTGTAAATCGAGTATCAAAACTGGAGCAGTATCGAATTCCCAGAATTGAGGATTTGTTTGCCAACCTGTCATGTGGACAGAAGTTCACAAAGCTAGATCTCAGTCATGCATATCACCAAATCCCTTTGGATGAAGAAGCAAAAACATATGTGACCATAAATACACACAAGGGCTTGTTCACGTATATAGTGTTACCTTTCGGAGTATCATCTAGCCCAGCTATTTTTCAACGGACCATGGAGGGACTGCTACAGGGCATCCCTAGAGCGGCAATATTCTTGGATGACATCCTGCTGACAGGGAAAGACGACAAAGAGCATCTGCAGACTCTTGTCCTTGTGTTGAAACGGCTACAGGAGGCCGGTCTCAGGCTCAAAAGAACCAAGTGTTCATGAGTGAGGAAGTGATGTTTCTGGGTCATAAGGTGGATGCTACAGGACTGCACCCTGTGCATGAGAAGGTGGAAGCAATCAAGGATGCACCCACACCTTCAAATGTGACAGAGCTCAAAGCATATCTAGGACTGTTAAACTATTATAACAAGTTCCTGCCCAGTCTGTCAACCATCCTTGCTCCAGTGCACACACTGCTAAAAAAAGACAGAAAGTGGCAGTGGGAAGATGCACAACAGACGGCGTTTGAAAAGTCAAAAGACATGATGCAGTCAGCTGAAGTGTTGGTGCATTATGACCCAGAGAAGGACATTGTGCTATCATGTGACGCATCACCATATGGATTAGGTGTTGTGCTCTCACATCGCATGCCAGATGGAACTGAAAGACCCATTGGATTTACATCACGGACATTAAATGCTGCAGAGAAAAACTACTCACAACTTGACAAGGAAGGACTGGCAGTGATTTTTGGAATAAAACGCTTCCACAAGTACATCTATGGACGGAAGTTTACTATAGTGACGGATCACAAGCCCCTGTTGTCACTTTTCAGTGAGATGCGAGCAGTACCCCAAATGGCATCACCGAGGATCCAACGTTGGGCCGTGAGCTCTTGAGCCTATGAATACACCATAGTGTACAAAGAAGGGAAGTACCACAACAATGCAGACGCACTGAGCCGCCTGCCCCTACCAGAGAAACCTGACCTGGGGAGGCCAGAAGAGAGGGTTCTCATGCTGGAGAGTTCTGACATCACACTTGTGACTGCTGACCAAGTGAAAGTATGGACAGACAAGGATCCAGTACTCTCACGGGTGCGGGAATTGGTAAACAGAGG